TATATATATATTAGTCTTTATTTACTTACTTTACTTTTACTTAGAATGATATATTTACTTGCTTACTCCCTAATTTTCCTTTTTAAACTATGTTATGTGCATTTAACTGAGCCTCATTACTATAGTTTCCACAGCAGCTTACTAGTTACTATAGCTGACCTACTAAGCAAGGACATATTAACCATTTAGGCACTAATGCCATCTGGATCTTGGTGTGAGAGAATAATGTGAGAAAAATAGTAACTGGTTAAACATGTTGTTTATGCCAGTAATATTACTATAATCTTTTTTTTTCCTGAGTGATATCACATTATAAATAGTTTTAATGGCATACAACACAATTACTCAATTTTTAATTTTCAGTGAGCTGATAACTATGTTTTTTTAACACCTTATTTCAAACGCTATATGCATAAACAGTATGATTATATATATATAGCTTGGCATAGTCAAAAGAATGGCAAGCTAGTTTGTCTGCAAGGAATTATAATGATGAACTAAAAACCGAAAATACTATAAACTAATAACAACTTTTAACAGGTAACAGTATCCATTGTAATACAAGATATCAGTCATTGAGGTACAGCATATTCCAATGTATCCAGTCATTACTGAAAAAAATTCAATTTATTATTTATCTGAGCTGTGGTGTTGAAGCTGTCAGATATTGCAAATACATATTACAGAGTTATAGCAGGGGTGAAGGTTTTTCCAGAGCATACCTAATAGACAATTTGCTTTAGAGAGAATGTGGTTTATGAGCTGCTGTACCTGGTTTTGAAGATATTCTATAGGCATAGCTAGCACATGTCTAACTCAAACTGAGTGGCCCCATTATTGTGTATACTGATCTAAAAACTTTATTTGAAAAAATTCTGGTGTAATTTTCCAGTAACAGACACACATTATTTTAGAAAAGTATAAACACAAAGTGAGATTTTATGGGTGTTTTCAAATATATCCACTGGTGTACAGTTGAAATGTGATCAAACATGTGTACCAAATGTAGAATGTATATATATATATATCTATATCTGTAGTTTTATAATCTGGTAGTAATATGTGGTCAACTTAGCTGTGTGCTGGCTAGTGTTAGCTAAGCATACAGTGATTAAGTGATTATCTTGGTCACATGCTGTGTTGAGCTTGCTCTAGCAGGGTGTGCTAGAGATCTCATTCTGTGGTAAGATAAATGAAAGCTCTATCTGTCCTCAAAAAAGGGTATAAAATTCATTTCAGTACAGCGCTGCATGACGGAATAAATGTCAGTCAAAGTACCGCAGCGCTGAATACTGAAAAATGGCCTGGATGGGAAGGGGGTTTAACACCGCGGATGTCAACTGGTTAATACCTGGCCAATCAGTAGACTTGGGGGGGTACTGTTCATGCTGGGAGTGTTATTAAATATCAGAAGCATTTCCTTGCACATAGGTTCTTTTTTTTCCCCTCCAGGGCTTGTGACCATCTGCCTTGTCCTTAGACCTTTGGGCCTAAAGGTTATGGAAAGGTACGAGCATCTCCCCTCCTGGGAGGCCTCCCTGAAGTTACTGGCTGCCATGGAGTGCTGTCAGGCTTAGAGGTTGTCAAGAAACCACCACTTAAGTTTAACTGTTCAGCCAGTAAAGCCATGTGAGGGTGAAGATCAAGGACTGTGTGCACTTGCAAATATCTTGTGCTCCTTTCACCCTCCTTCTCATTATCTCTATGAACATGTGCTATTAAATCACCCATAGCAGCCCCTTTTTTCTTAAGGCACACTTAGTTGCCTCCAGAACTACACAGTGCTATTTTATCTGGCCAGATAGCACAAAAGGCTGAGCAAAGCTAAAATAAAAGTATTGGGGGTATTGTGGGTTAGGAAGATACAGATGTACGCAGTGGATGCGACCAATGCATCAGCTAGAGAGTAATCAGAGGGACGTGGCAAGTGGTGAGTTCATGTAGCAGGCATTTATGTGGTCAATAAATATAAAAAAGGTTGGTCCATGCATCAGGAAGAGACATGGCCAGTAAACATACAAAAGGTTGGTCCAGGCAGTAGGCAGAAATGTGGTCAGGAAACAGACAAAGGGTCATTCCGGGCAGCAGGCAAAAGAAAAAGTAAATAACAGGCAGAGGTTGATCCAGACAGCAGGCAGAATTGTGATCAAAATACAGGCAAGGCTCATTACACAGGAAGATCAGATACAGGTGATGGAAGCAAGTGAGGCCTCTGGAAAAACCCAACCCAAGAGTTGGGCACAGGGGCTGTGTTGTTTATATTAAGCTCTGAAAAAACATAGACCAATTGCAGGAAAGAAGAGTAGGCAGAGTGAGCAGCAGCCTTACAAAAAAACAAAACACAAGAGCACACCATCTAAGTGTAGACATGTTTATTGATAAAATATTGAAAAGTAATTTACTCACAAAGGTAGATCAATTTGAGCATGTATAGAAATTCCTCTCATCAGGGGCACATCCGCCCATCTGTTTAAGCACTGTCCGTCCGCTCTGCTGGTTCGGGTTCAAGCTCCATGGTCAGTGCTGTCTGGTTTACGTTTCAGGGGCACGCCCCCTTCCTCAGAACCACCGCAACTCTGACAGCCCGGCGGATATGAATTGTGTAGCAGTCAATGAGGATGCCTCATTTGTCAGCCAATCAAGATGGGGATTCCCTCTCTCAGTTCACTGATGAACGGTTGCTTATTTTAACCCCGTGCTGACGTGGCCCCACCGCAGATTGCATGGGCATTTCTGACATGCCTCCAATCCTAGTTGTGAGAGCTGCCTGCTGGTGAGACAATCTCCCCACACCAGAACAATTTGTCTACGGTGGGTAACAGAGGGCGCTCTGCATGACTGCCCACAATCCCCCCATACACAGGCTCCCAGAAAAAACAGTAACAGATATCAATTGGAACATCCATAGTTATCTTCTACCCTGTTTCCCCGAAAATAATACCTACCCCGAAAATAAGACCTAGTAGTATTTTTGGGAGTTGCTAAAATTTAAGACCTACCCCGAAAATAAGACCTAGTTGTGACCATTCATAGGGCCAGTGTTGGCATAAGGGGGAACTTGAAGAAAGGCGGGAGAGAATCAGCGGTGGCAACGAAGCCAACGCTAGAGGAAGCGAGGCGGCACAAGCCGATGTTTCCTCTATAGCGCCGGCTCCTGTCACAAGCGGAGTGATACCAAATGCACTCCGCCTGGGAGGAGTCGATAGTGAAAGTGCGCTTTGCTCATCCTGGCCAGCGATTGGTTAAATTGCTCTTGGAAAGGTACGGTACCCGTGATTGCCCTGATCACCATATTTTTTTACATGAATACAAGTAGACTGTTGTACATGAATAAGTGTGGATTGTTGTACATTAAAAAAAATAAGACCTACCCCAAAAATAAGGCCTAATGTTTTTTTTTGAGCCAAAAAAAATATAAGACAGTGTGTTATATTCGGGGAAACACGGTATTTATAAATTAGCGCATGACAATGCTAAAGGTGATTAACATGTATGTGATTATAGTAATTATATTAAATATATATAGATCTGTAAAAATGTATATTCAAATAAAAAAAGAACTATAAATATAAATGCATTTGTTAAAAACTATATTAGTAATATATACAGTATGTACTGTATAGTCTAATTACACGTATAATTACTCCAACATTGATGCATTATAAGAGAGAGGGGTTTACCTTTCTTCTATCTCCAACTCTTATCTTGCTCTAACAACCCACATGTGAGTGAACCTGTATATCAAACCTATCACATACCCAACTAGTGCAAATGTTAACCCCATGTACACGTAACCTGCGCATGTATGCAGAACACATACATGTACAAGTGGACCCACCCCAAAACAAGCTAATGCCTGCTAATTTGATACTATATATTGGTTAGCCCCCTTATTTAGTCTATTCCCATTTTATGTCACTGCTGAGATCTCAAATGCTTTATTTAGACCACCAGGGGCTAGGCTACCAAGGCAATAAATCCAATACATTTCTCTCTTGCATCATTTTTGGAATCTAATTCCATCATCCCCACCCAGTATCTGGAATAGCCTCAATAGCTAGCAACTTAAGTTCAACAGGAGAAGCAATATGGTGCAATAAAAAGTGCCTGGGAACAGAATGGTCAGTCAAACTATTGAGAACATTGCGCTCATGTTCACCGAACCTAACACGCAATTGCCTTATAGACCTCCCAATGTATAATTTTCCACATGGACACAGTAGACAATAAATAACATACTGTGTGCCACAGTTGATGAATTGCCTAATAGAAAATGCATTTCCTTTGGTCCTCACAACGTGTTTCTTTCTATGGCAAATATAGGCACAAGCACCACAGTTTGGTATCATACACCGATAGCATACTGTTTGGCCAAACTCAGCACCTGTTCATCAGCGAATGGAGAGACGGAATCCCCATTTTGATTGGCTGATGAGGGGGCGTGCTCCTGAAGTGTTAACCAGACAGCACTGACCACGGAGCTTAAAGCCGGAGGTGAACTGGCAGAGAGGACGGACAGTGCTTAAACAGATGGGCAGATGTTCCGGCGCTGAGAGGAGTTTATAAACATGCTCAAATTGATCTACCTTTGTGAGGAAATTACTTTTTAATATTTTATTATTAAAAGTGTCTATACTTAGATGGGGCGCTCTTGTGTTTTGTTTGTTTTGTGAATGATAGAGATACCTGTAGTCTGAGAGCTGCCCCCCGTGGAAGAAGTAAGGGAGGAAAGAGAGAGCTGCAGACTGATTGCGCCTGGATCACACAAGCTTAATAAGCAGCAGCCTTACTGCAAATATACAGGTGTTGTGGCCAATGAAAAAGAAGAAGGAGGAGCCCATAGTGTGGCCATGTTGCCTGGGCAACAGGACGCTAGGCAGTGTGGTCGCTCGAGTCAGCTGGAGCATACCAGGCACTGGACTAACCAGCATGGAGTACACAGGGAGCTTGACTAGCCAGCATGGAGCACAGCATGGGCGAGCACAGAGGATTATTTTTTATCACTCTCACATTAGGAAAAACAGGACTAGGAGACATAATGAAACACTTGGGTTGTGCGTGCATGCCAATCCCTTTTCTAATATCCATGATTAGATTAAGCTAGTTAGAGCTCAATATAGACACTTTAATGCTTGACATTTGTTTTCCAGGGACAGCAGAATGTACGAATGCAAAATGAAGAAATAGTCCAATCTAGTATACCTCCTCAAAATCCTCACACTCACGGTTACCTGATGAAGTCACATGAGACATAACGTACGTAGGGCGGAGCTTTCTCACTTTGGAGTTGACGGAGCTGTGGGTGAATGAAGGCTGTGGAGGAGTGTGAGTGAGAGAACCAAGCTCTGTCTAGACTGTTACACAGGCTAAATTTTCCCTTTTTTATTGTAAATAAGTTTTTAAATAAATATGTTAATGCCTTTTATGGTATGCACTATGGTTTGTGCTTTCTTCCACTTATGACACACGATCGGGTAGAGGCTGCTTATAATACCGGAGGAGAGCTAGAGCTGATATCTGGAAAGGTGGGTGTCCCACCCACAATCAAAGGGACCAGCGTGGAGAGACCTAGCTAGTAGGTCTTAGTCCAAGGTGAGATCTAGTCCAGAGGGAGAGTGGTGGTCATGGAGATCGGTGCCAGATTGCGACACTGTGGGAGCACTGTATTTTGTAAAGATAGAGACACTGACACTATTGATTTTGAGACACTATAGACACTGTGAAAGAATTGGAAGTTGGGAGTGATAGTTACTTGATCACTTGGACTACTATTTAAAAGGTATATATTTAGTAGATACTTTTTTCTTGCAATTTATTGTGAACACTTTAGGCATATATGTGTGTTTGATGGACTATTATTAAGCACAATACTGTGTGATGTAATGTTTGGAGCCCTTAATGTATGTGGTACATCTTTTTGATTATAATATTTGATGGTGGAACACTTTATTTTAGTTCATTGAAGAAGCATTTGATTATGTTCACATGATCCATACAGGATCTTTGTTATATATTTTTATATATACTGTATATGTTTTATATATATATTTTAGCTTGGCACATATTTATTTATATATTTATCTTATGTTCATTTGTTATTTGGGTAGACGTTAGTGCTTTGTAGCTTGGATTAGATAGGTCTTGGCTCGAGGTTTATTGTTATTCATTTTTGCATCCCTGCTACATTCCTGAAGTCCAACAAAAGGGCACACACTTTTCTAGTAAGCTTGAAAAAAGCACTGTTCATGATCTACAATGTCATAGTGTATTTTCATAGATCTGGGTGTGGTCTTGGGTGCTTTAGATTAAAATACAAGCCTGTGTGGTCTTTAAACAAAGTATAAGCTTTCAGAACTGATGAATGCTTATGTGTTTTCATAAATCATTCTCTATGCAGTTAGAAAAGTATCATAGATTTCAACAATTTACTCATTTCTTATAATAGTAAACATCATGCTTGACAACTTACAGGTGTAAGAAAAGGGCAGTCATCTGATCGGCACAGCTTTGTAACACAATGCAAGAAAACTGTGGACATTTTCTGGTTCTTGTGCTTGACGAATCGGAAAACTTCAAAAGAAAATCTTCCCATCTGGCTTTTACCATTTTCAAATATTGTTGTCTGTGGGTCTTTATCACAGCTTTATAGTAAAGAATAGGAACATTATCAACAAATATAAAAAAAGATAACTAATTCAGACAAAGCTTAGAACAGTCGTACAGATAAGTCATTTCAAACTATGCCTGATACATGACAGATTTCATATTGAGATATTTCATGAACAGAGGAAGGCTAGCTAAGACAGCTTCTAAATAGCCAAGTATCACCCTCTACAAATAAAGGAAGTGGCCGCTTTGCTAGGTACACCAACTAATAAATCATATTTACTCTGTAATCTAAGTGAAGTTCAACATATAATAATTATTGGTGCAAGACAAAATTGTTTCAGCATCTCAAACTGCTGACCTCCTGTGATTTCTATGCACGACATACTCTAGAATTTAATTGTAAATAAAAAGAAATATAAAGACATTAGATTAGTGGCATTTCTGTGATCTAATGTAACAGGTCCTCTAGTATCCAATCTTTAGTTCTAATTTTGATTTTTTTTTTGCAAACAACCCACATTTTAAATATGTTACTTTTTCCATTCCTAATATATATATCATATTTTTAATCCACTACATTTGGTGACGGTACAGGTAACATCTATTTTGGCCACCTTTTTGCTTGCAAATTAAAAAGTGCTTTAACCCCTTCATGACTGATCTTGTTTTCAGTTTCTGTTCATAAATGACTGACACACTTTTTACATTTTTGCTGTGTGATTCTTCCACAGCGGTAATATACTTTCTTACTAAATGTACCCACACATAGTATATAATGTTTCGAATAAATTATAAAAAATGAGGAAAAAACATAAAGAAAACACTTTTGTATATCAAGCAGTTACTATGACTGCTTGATACATTAACAAATTTTTGGTTATTATTAGGCTGCTCCAAACTTAGGAACAGCTAATACGGTAATAACCTTAGAGACTGATCCTGACAGCATGTCAGAATCAGATCTCACTAAAGGTGTCTGATCTTGCCCAGATGATCAGAAGTGATACATTTCAGGCAAAGAGATACATTGTAATATTCCTGTGCCTGAAATATATCACACACAGCTTTGTAAACATTGGGCCAGTCTATGGAGCTGTCAAAACGAATAGCAGAGAGGTGACTCACTCCGCTACCTCTCTGCTATCTTTAGCTGGCAAATACTGGATCGATATTTAGCGATCCGGTATTTGTATATAACAGCTTCATTCTTTTATTAATGAAAGAACTAAGCTTTTACAAAAGCTTAACTATTTCATTAATGAATGCCTCAATATTGAAGCATTCATTAATGACTGGTAACCGCTGAGAGTCAGCGGTTACCAGCATTACAGAGCCTTAAATAACTTGTCACATACAGTGTACGTGGCCAGTCATTTAAGCACTTTGTGGTGGGACATATAGTGTACATCTCCCATCATGAAGGGGTTAATAAGCACCAATTTTGTATAACCTCCATAAATTCTCAAAACACAAATCTGGGAATCTCTCTCCAATGAGGGAGGTCTTTGCAACTGTGATTTGGAGAAGGGCATCTCTAAGGACACAGGATGTAAAATTTTGATAAGAATGGTCTACAGCAGTGTGCCTGGTTCCATTTCCAGTACTAATACAAGACTACAAAGTGCACTGGATCACCACTACTGAGAACATTTAAATTTGTTGCCTGATCTGAGGAATCTCAGTATATGCTTTTATTGTGGCATACAATGAATTAATCATTTGAGATGATGCACAGATGTTCATACTTTAAATTATGTGGCCGTCAAATGAGCAGGAATTGCTTGAAGCTATGGTGTCCTCATGTTTCTAGCATCTTGCTAAATCCATAATGAAAATTATTCACGATGTTCTCAAAGCAAAAAGGAGTTCCACCCAGAACTAGATAGGTGTACTTAAAAAAACTGAACCCTGAAAGCTAAAAAGCAGACCAAAGGCTAAGGCCAAGCCCCAGTATTGACTGAGGTATTCCTGTAGTTCATTTGTTCTCTCTTGTTGACTTACCATGCCTTGTTCTGCAATGTGTCTGCATGGTGGAAGCCATCTTTGTATGGGTAGGGATTTAGTTTCTCATATCAGAGCCTCTAGCAAGCAGAACAGTGGGCAGCTCAACAGTGACAACACCAAATCACATTCCAAATCTCCTGAGACTAGCAGTCAGAGGCAACAAGCCTTAGATCTCACACCGCAGGCATAAAGCTATGAGGTTGGAGGCACAAGAGTGCCTAGATACACTCACATTCCTGGAAGTGCATTTTACATTTTCAGAAGGAATTTTTAAGATACTGCTTATGCACAATTAACATTTGTAGGTGTTTCCATACCATAGCAACTCTTCACTTTTTGAGTTCAGTTCCACTTTACTAAAGTGGTCACTGTATTAACTGTATATTAGCATCTTAATATGTCAGGTTTCTAGGTTACCTTCTACAAAAGGTAACAATGCTGCTAAATTTAACTAAAAGGTAGTGAAATTATTGTAGGCATTGAATTAATTGAACCAAAATTTAGAGTCACTTTACAGTTACTGTGGTACTGTGAGATTTACTTTTAAAGGCTATAATTCCTTAGGATTTGTATCAGTTATAGAACTGGTCCAGTGCTTATATCCACTATAATATATGTTACAACTTCTGAAACAAAAATCCAATGACAACACTGTCTATTTAAAAGTTAAATCTATATATCTGGCAACCATACCAGGGGAATAAATTAGTGATTAGCATTGCTCTGGTCACTATCCTAAAATGAAGAACAAGTCCCTTATTTATTTGTGATGGAAGAAAGATATTTTCTTCTGTGTTAAAACAGGCAGCATTTTTAAAATATGCAGTGTAAAAAATGTTAAGACTCTTTAGGTGTATGTCACTTTAAGTTTTACTGTGCTTTCTGTAATATGTACACTTTCATTAAGGCTGAAAAGTATAGCTTTCACTATATTTCCGGCCCTCTACCGAATTCCTTCTTCATGCAACGCACACCTTGACCAACTTTGCAAGCATTATTACCAGGGATGTTCAGATGCCATTATCTGTTTCAGTGCCGATACTTGGCATTTTCATGAGAACTACCAGGGTCACAGCAGTTGTGGCTGCAACTGGGCACTGGTGCTCCACCACTTTCCTGAAATCATTAGTCTGTATTGTTTTAGAAAAACTGTCACCTGACACTAAAAAAAAAGGTATCAGTAATTGGTACCTGTGAGTACTGTGGTATCAGTACATCCCATATATATATTAATGTCTTTATTCAACCTCAAATACTATGTAACTATGTAACTATATATATATATATACAACAAATCATACATTAAAATAGGGATGCACAAGTCCCAAAAGCCCTGTAGCCAATGCTCCTTAAAAATGACTCTTAACTTTCGAGTTTTTCCTCTAGTCTAGTCTTTCAATGGAGCTGATAAAGTATCAGTACTTTTACTTGTACCAAGTATTGTACTTGGCATCTGAACATTCCTAGTTATTAACAGTGTATTACCTGAGAAAAAGATCATATCTGATGTCATCATTTGGATTTCCAGAAGGGGTGGTGTAGCAGTAGTCCATTAAAACATTCCACCTATATTAATAAGAAGTCACTTGGTCAATTTTACCCAATGACAATGATGATTAACTGTCCTAGTGAACATTTTTATATACTGTATAGCCAAAAATTAAAAACTGTAATTAACCATGTAAGGATATAGGATGCACTTCATACAGCCTAGAGTCCCTTTCAAAGACTCTATGATGTATGGATGTATGGAAAATGGAACATTGCAAAGTGAAAATGGAAAAAAGTTAAATTTTTAGTAAAATCTTTCCTATCTACCCATATGTTACCCCTTGTTACTCCTTCTTAGCCCTAACTGGCACCTTCTTCTTGTTCTCCTTAGTTTTTTTCTTATTAAATATGTTTTTATATTTTCTTTGCTAATTTTGGTAGTATAAGCCTTACTTTTAAAGAAACAAAACTTTACTAACTTTTCCATAACCCCTACCAGAATCATATTTTTTGCTTCATGATAAATGGAAAAATTGCAAAATAAAATGTAAACATGAGCACAACTGTTTGTTTGTTTTAATGTTATCTTTAATTTATATGGAATAAAAATACTCTTGGTGGGAAGGAGAAGTGCTTGGTCAAGATTTTCTAACAGATCCGACCACTATTTCCCCTTCGATTAACCAGATACTAGCATCTTCAGGTCTCCGAAGACTAAAGAATGTCACTCACTTTGGCCAGTGGTGTTTATGACCACCTTTACTCTGTTGACTAATAGTAAATAGAATTTAGTGTACTGTATGTCCAAGAGGTGCAACAGAAAGTGGAGGTAATTCTCCTCTTGGACAGTTGTTCTTGGAACAGGTGTCCCCATTGGAAGATTTCCCCTTAACTTTTTTTAAGTCCAGAATTTTAGATTTTATTTTCTAGATGAACATGGTCACCAAAACAAAACATGGTTTACTCACCCCAATGGAGACACAAATAACAAAAAAAAACCTTGACAGAGAATTTAACCTTTCCCTACTCGATCTAAAAAAAAGTTTATCCTAGAGATAAACATTAACATTAATATAATGTACAGCTAAACAGTAACAATATTTAAGATTATGGTTTGGAAACAAGTTTCAAAGGCCTTTCTTTTTTCTTTTTAGAGTGTATTTTTGAAGCATGTCTTTGTTTCAATTTCAAATATTTTTACACATTGTATATCTATAGAGTGATATAGGAACAATATTGAAACCTAAAAATCTGAACCAATACAACACAAGGTCAGGGCATAGAATAGGAGCAAGGACAGTGGCATTCTGTTTCAAAATTCCATCCATCAAGGAGACAAATTCTTTATCTAGAGTGATTTGAAAACATTGAAAATAGTCACCACTTGTTCAATAATAAAAAAGAATCCAGACATATACAATACAAGATCAGAGCATAAAAAACAAGCAAGGACAGCAGCATTTTGTTTCAAAATACCGTCCATCAAGGTTGGTTGCTCTCACTGCTGCATATATTTTTGTTTTCAATGGCAATCCAGTGCTTGGTATCAGCAACTGCTGACTGTAGGTTGAATCCTGTAGGAGTAAGAAGTGATGCAATTAATTGCTGCCTAGAACAATTATCATTCAAGTTCTGTGAACTAAATTTAAAACTTGAGTTATTACTTTGTTTTAAAGAGTATGATGGTACCAGAAACAAAAGGATTTGTTTATGATCACAGAAAGTCTTGCTGAGTTATAATATAATTGTGGCTTAAATTATTGAATCTATTATCGTGTAATAAAATAATATGATACATTTCGGAAAGCTTGGAGTCAAATAAATGCAAGTCACCTCCACTTCTGTCCACTATAATATTCTTAACTATGAAGCATAACTATAATGCTTATTATTATTGGCCAATGCATTTGAGAGGGTGGGCAAAACTATATACAATATATAAAACTACATGAGCATTTAAATATTGGACTTCATTTATTAAGGTAATAAAGAATGTTCACTTTGCAAAGCTAATGTTCCCATAGCAAATTAGGTAAAGCTGTGTTCACTTCAATCAACCAGTCACATGTTAACAAAAATCCAGGTGGTTATTCACAAAGCTAGTCGAAGGATCGGTTGCGGGAGACCTTCGATTCAGTAGAACTGAAGGGCTGCTGTACTGAATGTTTCAGTTTTCTGTTCAGAAAACCTTTAGTGACAGCTGAATCCTGAACTGCTGCAGGATCAGTGTCACTAACTTATTATTGGCTGTTCTGAAGTTTGAAACAGCCTAATAATAACCAAAAATGTGTTAATGTATCAAGCAGTAATAGTGAGATTAATTCACAATGACTGCTTGATATAATTAAATAAATAAAATAAAAATTTTAAAGTGTAAAAAAAAAAAAAAAATAGTGAAAAGTGTAAAGAAAAAAAGTGTAAAAAAAATTAAAAAATAAAGGACAAATAAATGAATGTATTTGTTGCATTTTTTTAGCTGTGCTGGTTTTGTAAAAAATACTACAAATCAAAATTGGGAAAAAAGTGTTTTTTTTTTAATTTTTTCCTCTTTTTTTATATTTTATTTGTCCTAAGTGAGGCGTTAGACACACATATGTGATATAAATATGTAGCCCTATCTGTCCTCTAAAAACAATATATAATATGCGTGGGTGCACTTTGTCAAAAGTGTGTCAGTCATTTACGAACAGAAACTAAAAACAAGCTCAGTCATGAAGGGGTTAAACAATGACAACTGAGCGGAGCCAGCCATCTAGCAGGTGGCGGCCAATAGAAAAAAGTTTGGCATAGCTAGCTGTCACTGCTAGCTCCACCCAATTGTTTTTTGTCTTTTTTAAAAAATCTTTATTTTTTTTTTGAATAATTTATTTACGCTTTTTTAAAAACTTTTTTCATTGATTTCCTATTCTGCTCAGTACCACGGAGGTACTGAGCAGAATAGCCGAGCCAAATGCCGCTTGGCGGCATTCGACTATTTACTCTCGGCTGTTCGGCCCCTATGAGTCCTTCTGCACTTTTGGCCCAGCCAAACATGCAGCCGAAGGCAGCCGATGTACAGCTGATTCCAGCCGTACTGAGCCGCAGTAAATATCCGAATGTTGTTCGGCTCACTTCACTAGGGCTCTGTTATTCACTCGGCAGTCTCCAATAGCTTAGTGAATAACCCTTCCAGTGTTTTTCCCCCTGCACACAAAATGGGTATTTCAAGTGAACATCTTTTTTGCTAACCTAGTTAAACATTCAATTTATAGAGTGAATCCTTGCTTTACTAAGCGAACATGCTCCTCAACAGATGGAAAATAGCTTTTAAAAAATGTTTCAGAGAAAGAAACATGGGACATTTTTAAAGCTTGCATTTTCAATGTCTTGAGTTGACTTGTAAATCACGTGATTCTAACTCTTTACTAATTTACAAAATTACTGTGTATAAGTATGTAAATATCAATTTGTAAGTATAAACAGTACTAAATTATTTATATCTATTTATAGCTAGGCTCTTTTGCTTTAATTTCAGTTGCTTTTTGACAAAATACTTGCTCTAAAAAATGTTTCAGTTAAAAAACAGAAAAGTGAATAAAACGGAATCTATGGGGTCTATTCACTAAGCTGCCTACGGCAGCCGAGTGAATGACCGACCTAAAGCGGAGTGAGCCGAACGCTGTTCGGCTATTCACTTCAGGCTTGTACGGCTGATTTCAGCCCTATATCGGCTGAAATCAGCCGTACATCGGGTGGCTTCGGGTCGGCCGAACATGCTAAGACATGCTCAGCCGAATCTCCGGCAGGCTACTCGCTGCTGTTCGGTCTATTCTTATATTCTATTCTTATCTAGATGCCGAACAGCAGTGATTTAATAGCTGAATGCCGCTGAGTGGCATTCAGCTTGGCTGTTCTGCTCGCTCCCTCTGTGGGACTGAGCAGAACTGAAAAATTGTTAAAAAGTAGAAAAATAAAAATAGAAAACAATTGTGCAGAGCTAGCAGTGACAGCTAGCTCCACCCAACAGTTTTCTATTGGCCGGCAGTTCTGCTGCAGTCATAAAAAAATAATAATCATTTGGCCATAGGAATGCATTGCTAGATTCCTATTAGCTATTTCAATTTGCAATAGCCAATAGCAAACTAGCTAATGTACCCACCCTCTGCCGATGTCAATCACTAGTGGGGACCTGATGGAGAACTGCAGCAGAGGGCGGGTACAATAGCTAGTTTGCTATTGGCTATTGCAAATAGAAATAGCCAATAGGAATCTAGCAATGCATTCCTATGGTGATTTTTTTTCTTTCTATTCTGACACAGCTCCGTGTCAGAATAAAAAAAAAAGCAGTGTTTCTCTCCTTGCCGGCCGGGAGCGTGAGACTAGGCATGTGCCTTAGGCTCGACTGAGCCGCTCGGCCAAGTTCGGGAGCTGTACGGGCTATAGTGAATAGCCCGTACAGCAGCCCTTCGGTTCTACTGAACCGAAGGGGTCCTGGAGCCAAAGCTAGCCGAAGGATCAGCCGAAGCTATGGCTAGATCTTTCGGCTGCTTTGTGAATAGACCCCTATGTAATTAAATGATTTTCACATAAGTGTTTTCTTGACTTAAAGTATTTTTCCATCCAGTGTAAATATTTCAGTTTTGGGAGAATGCTGAAGGGTTGAATATCAGTCTAGCTTCTCATATGTTTTTGGAAATTGTGTTGGAAAGGTTTCTGCCTCCCTGTAGTCATTTCAAGGAGGCCTTACTCTTCCAGCTGACTTATCTTTTTATATTACATTAGAAACATTCAGTGATACTCCTTTGTTTAGTTTAGCATTGGTTGTGGCAGATATGGAGAGAAGAACATCAGAGAGAAAAGAATGAAAAGCAGCAATTTCTAGCAGTTTGACATTGGCACTGGTAGCCTTTGGCACAGAAAGCTTAGTCTTCAGTGCATACTGTCCCAGAGCTGCAGAGGATACATGCAAACAAAGAGTTCATTCCCCTTAAGGGACAGTTAGAGCTAATGTTCTGGTCACAGGGAGTGTAAGTGTGAAAACAGGTTTATGCAGGACACCGCTCTCACACCAAAAACTAACATTGATTATTATTATACAGGATTTATATAGCACCAATAGTTTACATTATAAGCAAGACATTACAATCACAATTCAAGACAAGATGGTAAGGAGGGCCCTGCCCGTGAGGGCTTACAATCTAAAAGGGAGGGGCAAGTGATACATGAGGAGGTAGCTGTGCGGGGATGATTGTTTGAGAAAGTGATTCTTCAGTGGTTAGGTTGAGGTGGGTTAGGCTTCACTGAAGAGATGAGTCTTAAGGGATTGCCTAAGGGCAGTCAGTGTAGGAGATAGACGGACAGGTTGGGGTAGAGAGTTCCACAGGATGGGAGAGACTCTAGTGAAGTCCTGGAGCCGAGCATGGGAGGAGTTGATGAGGGAGCTGGAAAGCAGGAGGTCTTGTGAAGAGCGTAGGGGACGGTTAGGGTAATACTTTGAGACCAGGTTGGAGATATAGCCGGGGTCAGAGTTGTGGATGGCTTTGTAAGCGGTTGTTAATATTTTGAATTTATCCATTGGGCTATAGGAAGCCAGTGCAGGGCTTGACAGAGGGGGGTTGCAGACACTGAGCAGTTGGTTAGGTGAATGAGTCTAGCAGCAGCATTCATGATAGACTGAAGGAGGGATATCCTGTGTAGTGGAAGGCCAATGAGGAGGGAGTTGCAATAGTCCAGACGAGAGATAACAAGGGAGTGGATGAGTAATTTTGCGGTTTCCTTGGTGAGGAAGGGGCGTATTTTAAAGATGTTATGAAGGTGAAGGCGGCAGGATTTGGATAGCGATTAGATGTGGGGAATAAAGGTGAGGTCCGAGTCAAGGATGACACCTAGGACCTTGGTATGGGAGGAGGGGTGGATAGTTGTGTTAACAATCTCAAGGGAAAAGTTGGGGGAAGGTGCACGGGCGGGAGGAAATATCAAGAGCTCAGTTTTTGAAAGATTGAGTTTTAATAAGTGTTGTGACATCCAGACGGATATGTCAGTTAGTAAGATTAGTGACACGCGAGGACACAGAGGGGGAGAGTTGCGGAGTAGAGAGATAGATTTGAGTGTCATCGGCATAGAGATGGTATTGGAAGCCATGTGAGGATATTAACTGACCAAGAGAGGAGGTGTAGATAGAGAAGAGAAGGGGTCCAAGGACACAGCCTTGGGGCACCCCTACAGAAAGAGGCAGAGGAGGGGAGGAGTTAAATTTGTAGGTGACACTAAAGAAGCGCTTAGATAGGTAAGAGGAGAACCATGAGAGAGCAGAGTTTTGTAGGCCAAGTGAGTGGGGTTTTTTGATGAGGAGCAGGTGGTCCACAGTCTCAAAAGCAGCAGAAAGGTCTAATGACAAGCGTAAGGAATAGTGGCCATTGTGTTTAGCTGTTAGTAATTGATCTTTGCATTGATCTTCCAGCAATAAAAGCTAGTTGATACATCTTCTTGTGAATAAAATACAAATCTACTACACAACACAAGCAATTGTTTTATTCCTACTTACATTATAGAGGAGTAAATTCAGTGTGCTGATAAATGTACCATTGCCATCTTTCACAGAAATAGCAGCCGAAGATCTACAATGGTAAAAAAGTGAAACAAAATGTATTACATTATAGATGTTTAAGGGAATTATATTTTTACACAGAGGAAAAGGAGTTCTAGAAGTATTGGAATAAATCACTGAGTTACGTTACAGCTAGGTACTCAGTTAAACAACTTTGCATTATTCAGATAGAAAAAAATCATTACATGCAGCACAAGCTGGAAAAAATGATGAGCTCTGAAATACTTAAAGTATAAGAAATAACAAAATGTGAAGTTTTATATTGTTATTGTAATCATGGGAATAAATACTTTCCAATTAGTTACACTGGCACAAATGCTAATATGATTTTTTTTGTTTCATACAAAGTATTAAGTTAGTCTTTAAGTCAGCAAAATCTGCAGTGCTTACAGTTTACAAATTTAAATATCAATTTGAAGGTGAAAGTAGGTAGAAAATATGTTATGTAAATATACTTGATAGCTTTTTCCTCAATGCATATTTTTAAACATGCTTACATTTTTGAGGTTTATTTATAATGGTGTAGATGAGTAATTATGATGTTCAAAGCACAGTAACCTATATCAACCAATGAATTGTAATTATCCCCTACTGCATGCAGACAAGTGACAGATACATTCTGATTGGTTATTGCTATAGGTTATTGCATTTAGCATATTTGCTTACTGAATAAACCTTTTATTTATAACCCACAGAACAGTAGATTAGAAGGGTGGTTCAATACATTTTGCACTCATGTGATTGTAAAGGAGACATTTGTGCTAATACAGTATATCGATATGGGTATTCCTGTTATTTTTGCTTTGCCATTATAAACTTATGATAAACTGCATAATACTTTGTATTGAAAACATTATGTTAATTTATACTTACGAAGCCAACTGAGTGTTGTTTACCAAATACTCCAGGGGATAACTGCAGCTAAATTTGTATAAAAGTCCCGGCAGATAACTAATAATGGTTGGAGGGTCTGGTGTATCTATATATCCAGAAATATTTCCTATTTGTACCATTGAAGCATCCCCATATGCATTTAATCCAGGTACGGTTGACACCTGTTAAACAGTCGCCACAAATATATTATTAGAAGACTTTAGTACAAGTATATTTGTTCATTGATGATTTTCGTGGTATGACATAACAAAGAAATATACAGGGTTATTTACTTGAAGGATGAAGAGTTTGGAGAAGTGAACAATCTAGGACAACATAGCTGATCGGGAAAGTGAGCTCAATAGAACTTTTCTAAATCAGATAGCTTGTCCCAGATTGTTCACTTCCCCTGCCTTGTCTAAATTCTTCACCCTTTAGTGAGTAACCCTGAATCAAGCAAAATATATGATAATGAAACACAAGGCAAATATTCTGCCAGTCCAAGGCCTATGAAACTGATTTGAGCCTGCATTTATCAAATTACATTGTTTATAGAAAAACAAAAAAAGTTAGCTTAACACATTATAACTCTATTTTTTCTCACCTAAAGATTATGGCAAAGAGAGCAGGCCAGGTGCAGCACAGCTGGCTCACAGGAAATAGGGAATGCTGTCTGTTCTAGAGTAGGCCATGGCAAGTGGAAGAAGGAAATAAAGCAACACCAATACATATTCTTTTGGCTTATTTGACAACTGTGAAAAAGAAATGGTGTACAATAGCACTTTAAAACATCAAACGTTTTAAGGAGTGAAGGTGCTCATAGACATCTGAGACTGGACAGATGTGTAGGCAATATGCAACCAACCTCGGGCACTTTCATTATCTGGCTCATAAAAGCTAGGCTAGGATGAGCATTCATATATTGCAATGTAGAGGAGAAGAGAGATACAGTGCATGCTACCACAGCTGCTTGCATAAAGGGGTACAATAACAATTCAAAAGTTTCTTAACCTGTCTGACTCGCTTCTTGCCAAGAGTGTTTGGCTGGCAGGTATCTAACATTGCCCAAAGACATGAGATCAACCAGATACAACTATTATCTCCTGTCTGTGAAAAAGCTTTATAGAGAGCAGACTACTATGCTACTTTCTTGCTTTTTTTAACAAAGAAGGGTCAGGGTACCCAAAATTGCAAACTGTAATTGATATTTACTTACCCTTTCCCTTCTTTTCAGTCCACAGCCTCTTTTTATTAAAAAAGAGCCACGCAAAACAAAAAGAAAGCCTAAAAAATAAAACAAATATTTTTAAATCCACATGTTTATTTTTTCTTGATCACAACACAAAAAGGATTATTCAATAAGGCATTGCAAAAACTAAAATGTATGTGCAAAGTTCAGTAGCCCATCAAAAACAGACATGACATCTTAACTGATCTGACTACAATAGACAAATCTAATTGATGGTATGGGTTACTGCATTTTTCACATCATTGTTGCTTTTGCAATGCCTTGTTGAATAAGCCCAATAGTTTCTTTATCCCACATCTTTTCCCCTATGTCTTTGAAGCAGTTCAAGACAAGGTATACTGGGGTATCATGTAGACCTGGCTATGTTGCACTGGAAGCACAGTGCAGCTTTGTAACACTTTGATTATATATTGGTGCAACTTTAGTATTTACAAAAATCCTTTTTTTTTAAGGATGTAATACAGGAATTAAAAAGTAAAGTGTTCATAATACATAGTAAATGCATGTTGCAGAATTCTGCTTATACCTGATAATACTGCTGCTTTATTTTTAATGTTATACATTTTTTCAGAAGCCAAGCAACCTTTTTCAGCAAATTACACTAATATGACTCCATCAAAACTAAATATACTAAATTTGTGATTTTTATAATGTATCAAACTTTAAACAGTCATTAGCAAGAAAAGTTGTGATTAATATTAGCTAATTATTTCTATTTTTAATAGCTTCAAAAAAGAAACTGAAGATGTTGGATCAAGAAGAAAAATCACATGGACTTGAAAATATTTGTCATTTTTATAATTTTGAAAATATTAGAAGGGCTGAAAGAACAGAAGTAATGAAGGGAGTGAGCATGAAAATAAACACACAAAAAACACAGCAAGCACCTTTCATGTTCATTTTTGATATCTATTATTTGACATTCATTTTTATATAAAAAATATTTACTTATTCACTATACATGCAGATCATAAGTACAAATGAACTTTTTATGTATTTCATATTTGTTAGCTGCAAAAGTTCCTTTGTTTCTATTACAATATTGTCTGACCAAGAAGATGCTGTATCAAACAGCATTGTTAATGGCTAGTTTATTCAATCAGAAATAAGAAAAAAGAAATCCCAGCTGCATGCCAAACAATACTAATGGCTATTGTTCAAAAAGCTCCAAGGACTCACCGCTCTATTCCAACCTTGGCTGCAGTAAGTGCACACTCTGGGTGCAGGCTGTAGTATGCCTCTCACTTGCCCAAATCAATCTCCAAAAGATCAGCCACACAGAAACAGGGTAAGTGAAATCCCAAATTTATTGGAATAAATCCAAGCAGATTTCAAAAAGACAAATCCAGAAGAATGATGACCAGCATGTGCATCACCATAAGTGTCTAACACCCCACTTCAACATCTCTCACAGGTTTCCCCACCAGGGCTTAATCATACAGGTATGATTAATGCCCAGGTGGGGAAATGCGTGAGAGGTGTTTCCCTGGTGTAGGAGACACTCAAGGTGATGTACACGCTGGTCATCATTCTTTTGGATTTGTCTTTTTGGAATCTGCTTGGATTTATTTCAATAAATTTCGGATTACACTTACCCTGGTTTCTGTGCGGCTGATCTTTTGGAGTACTAATGGCCAAGTTTCAGCAGCGGGGGTGCTTTAGTGGTTATACGGGATGGTGCTATCTATTTTGAACAATAGATTGTGAATCATCAGCACACAAATACCTCCCTTAATCTGGATTTTTGTTAAGTCACCAATAAAAGCAATGCTCAGAGGTCAATTTATTTAAAGTAAATAAGCTGTTGATTTTGCAAGGGAATTTTCACTTCGCAAGAGAATGTTCCCTTACTTTAGTTTGGTAATTCTTTGCACATGAATATGTATCACATTCACATAGCTAAAGGAAGATTATCTTGCAAAGTAAACAGCCTATGTGCCTTTAGTTATTTATTTTTTTTGGAGACAGTGCCACTGAGAAATAGTAGATTACCTGAGTTAAAAAAAAATTTGGTTAGCAAGTTTACTTATAAAAATATTATTATTATTAAAAATAATATAAACAATTTCCTTTTCTTTCCAAGCCTGGAGTTCTCTTTTAAACTCTCTTAAAAAGTGACAACCATTGTAATTCTTGTTTATTTGTTCCATGAACTGAAAGGTGAAACAATACAGGTTACTACTGACAACTGAACGCCGAACTTTACGGGATGTTCGCAGTCTGTTCGACCGTGCAACATCCCATACTGCAAAGAGCCCTGTGAAGATCTAATTGGTTAAAGACTTGCACCTGACCACAGGTCAGGTGCAAGACTTTGCCCAATCAGGGCTCAGTACTCATTTGGAGCCATGATTGGGCAAAGTCATGATGACTCTGCCCAATCATGTCTTGCCTATCAGATGCCGGCAAACTACACAATTGGGTGGAGCTAGCTGTCACCATTAACTCCGCCCAATTGTTTATGTTTTGCCGGCATCTGTCAAAATGCCATTATGCGGCAGGAGTTGGCGGGGAGAGGTCGGGACGGCGGCCGTTTTTAAAAAAATTATTTCTATTCATTTTTATTGTTTTATTTTTTATTTCGTCTTTTGTTTGGGGGGGGGGGGGGGTTTAATAAAAGACTTGTCAAAAACATGTCTTTTGCTGTTTTTCAATTAAAGGATTTTATCAAAAGTCCTTTATTTAACCCTTTAGTGAATGGGTAGGGGTACAAGTACCTCTTACTCATTCACAAGGGAGGGGGGCGGCATCTGGGTGCCCCCATAATTAAAGGGGTACCCCGATGCAAATAAGCCCCCTTGCCCGCAGACCCCCACAACCACCGGGTCAGGGTTGTGGAGGCGAGGCCCTTGTCCCCATCAGCACGGGGACACCCTCCCAGTGTGGGAGGGAGGCCTATGCTCGCATCAAGGGTCTTGTATGGAATTTTAGGGGGACCCCACGTACCCCCCCCCATTTTGGGGGGTGGGGTTCCTCCTTAAAATTTCTACCAGACCTTAAGGGACTGGTATGACTTCAAGGGGGAACCCCACACACTTTTGTTTTTGTTTTTTGTTACATGGGGTCCCTCCTCGCTATTCCTACCTGACCTTAAGGGCCTGGTATGACTTTGAGGGGGAACCCCACACTTTTTTTTTTGTTTTTTTTTACACGGGGTCCCTCCTAAATATTCCTACCAGACTTTAAGGGACTGGTATGACTTTGAGGGGGAACCCCACACTTTTTTTTTTGTTTTTTTTTACACGGGGTCCCTCCTAAATATTCCTGCCAGACCTTAAGGTTCTGGTATGACTTCAAGGGGGAACCCCACACACTTTTGTTTTTGTTTTTTGTTACATGGGGTCCCTCCTCGCTATTCCTACCTGACCTTAAGGGCCTGGTATGACTTTGAGGGGGAACCCCACACACTTTTTTTTGTTTTTTTTTACACGGGGTCCCTCCTAAATATTCCTGCCAGACCTTAAGGGTCTGGTATGACTTTTAGGGGGTACCTTACGCTTGTTTTTTTTACACGGGGTCCCTCCTAAATATTCCTGCCAGACCTTAAGGGTCTGGTATGACTTTTAGGGGGTACCTTACGCTTGTTTTTTTTACACGGGGTCCCTCCTAACATTCCTACCAGACCTAAAGGGTCTGGTATTGTTTGGGAAGGGGAATTGCACACTTTATGAGTAAAAAAAAATTAATTTTTTTTTTTTTTTAGAAATGTCAGTTTTGCTGCAACAGCTTCTATACATCGTACAGGTCCAGCACTTCAAAGGCAGGTTAAGGGGACCCCCCAGGCACGATATTTAAAGGAATTTTTCATTTTTATTCTTACTCTTTAAGTGATGTTAAAATCACTGTTCCTTTGAAAACTGTATTTTTTTTGTTTATTTTTTTAATTGATTCCTGTCCCCCAGGGCAGTACCCAGACCCTCATACACCTTTTAT